CAACACCCATGACTTGAGATTGATATTCTTAACAAGGTTCGCACTGGCACTAAAACAAGAAAAAGTTAATAAAAACAAAACAAAACAGACGAGAAAAACTTTCAACACTTAGATTCAGCGTTACTCAAATTGTGTTTTGAGGAATAATAAAATACTAAAACGGTAGGTAAAATCAGACAAAAGTTTAATAATATTACAACTAAACGAGGGATGGGACAATAAAACATTAAATCGGTGTTTAATACCAAGGCCTAGATCAAACCAACTCTAGAGTTCCATCATATACATCTCTTCCCAAAATGGTTCCATAGCCAAAAGAGTTTCAGAACTAAGAAAATCATTTCAAAACAGTGAATGTACTTTCTAACAGTTTCAATGTCACCAGTAGTTTATAGATTTAGTATTTAAAAAAAGTATGAATAATTTTTTAATTTTATAACAGAATTCTGTGTGTACAACAGTGCGACCATTAAAGTGAACATAATTGTAGCATTTTTTTTTCAACAAACATATTATTTAGATTAACAATATGAATAAATACTTACGAATCATAGACTTTAACATAACCATCATCAGATGCTGTTACAAGAAGATTTGAATTTGTCGAGAACTGTACACTTCTGACAGTTTTATTGTGCGCCTCAATTGAATGTATTAACTTTCCTTGTTGTACATCAAATATACATACTGTGCCGTCCACTGCACCACAACTTATGTACTTGTCATCTGCACTCTATTTACAATTAAAATATTATTTAGTATAACAAAATTATTTGGCTTTGTGAGAGTGTGGCCTTTGCATTTAATTCTATGAAAAAAGTATAGAAAATATACATAAAACTTTTTGCTTGCAATCTTAGGTTATAATAATTATCAGCTGTTGTCAGTAATACCAACTGTGTGGAAAAAAAACTTAATAAGTAGTCTATATGTTGTTCTAGACTATGTACTACATCTATGCTAAATTACATCAAGATCCATTGAGTCGTTCCAGAGATACCTTGTAACAAACATCCATCCAAGAAAACTTATACATTTATAATATTAATAAGATTTAAATTCTACTCACCCATGCTACACAAATAGTAAATTTGCCTCTAGTATCTAAAATTTTATGTACAATGCCTTTCACAATACTATAGATGATGACTTTGCCTGTATGACTTCCAGAGGCAACATGTCTGTTATTAGGTGAAAACGAAACCTTCCATACATCTGTAGCTTCACTTTGTATCTCATGGACTTTGTTACCTGTTGTCAAATCCCATATTATCATAGTTGAGTCTAATGATGCTGATGCTATAGCTGAAATTGTTTTAAAATGTTAATATATGTTTCAATAGTTGTATGTATGATTTAAGCTGTATGAACACATATTTAATGGTAAGAGAGGAAGTGATTCATTACTACCTTAATTAGTCTACCCCCACAATTAGTTACATCTTACTAATATTATAAATGCAAATGTTTAGATGGATGGATGTAAGGATGGATGAATGGATGTTCCTTTGATGGTATCTCAAGAACGGCTGTATGAATCTTACTGAAACTTGGCATAAATATACATAGGCTACTAATTAAGTCTTTTTAATACTGTGCAGACAGATTTTAGTAAAAGGGGCCCTTACAATGTGTTGAATGTTTAAATAACTAATATGTTATACCTACTGTGTCCATCAGGGCTGATAGCAACTGAAACAACAGCCATAGAATGCCCTTGTAATGTATGAAATAACTCTAGCTTATTGTTCTCTATATGCCATACTTTTACTAAGCCATCTAAACCTCCTGTCACTAGAAATTCTTTAATCTGCTCCCTGCGAATTAATTATAACATCTTAAATGTTTAAGTCATGTATTTGACGTTATTTAAGCTTGTTCGTGCTTATGAGCCGTGTTTAATGTAAACATACTTTGCCTCAGAAGAAATATTTGTTTGTGTCCATGCACAGCTATAAATGGGATCTTCGTGAGCATTTTCTTTTTTAATAAGTAAAGAGTACTGAAACAATTCAAATTTAAGAAATAAAATAACGAACGCTTAATTTATCAAACTTGTTCATTTAATATACTACTCACCACCGATGCAGCAGGCATTTTAGAATTGATATTATTTATCAACGTTTTAAGGGAATTATATTTTGAATATTGTATTTTGCTATAAAAAAAATTAAATTAATCCCACTTGAACTGTCAGTGTCATTTATGACTTCATAGGTTGCGTTTTAAAACATGTATCAAGCTTGTCGTTAAAAGCATATAGGAATCATTTTTATCAAAATTATAAAACGAAGATGATTTTTTTTGGGATCAAACTATAATTTCGAAAATCATAGAAAAACAATCAGTAACATTGATTGTAATTTTCATCTTCCCACTATATTAAATAATAAAAACTTTAAAATAAAAGATATTACAAAAAAAACAAAGGAATCGTGTATATTTTTATTAACATTACTATAAAGGACAGTCATAAATATTTATACTTTTATCTTCTGATACAGAAACTATTTTATTGCTGTCTGCATTAAACTTTACTCCCCAAACCTAAAACAGATGACAGGAAAATTTAATGCAAATCCATAAATTAAATTTTTACATTATAAAAAAAATTAAATTAAATCAATCCGAACTATGTAAAATATTATGCTTACGTTCCAAAAAACAGTATAAAAGTTTTTATATTTTTTAATCTTTTCTTACCTGATCAGTATGCTCCTTGAACACATTTTGGCACTGCATAGTTTCTAAGTCCCAAACTCTAACAGTCCGGTCTGAGCTACCAGAGACAAACCTTTTACCATCTGGTGAAAAGTCCACAGATAATACCCATGAGGCATGACCTGATAAAGTTGCCGCTAAATTAGCATGAACACTGAAATAAATTTAATCAGTGATTAGTCAGAACATTTTTTCAAATAGAATTTCAACAGCATGTTGATGTTAAAGTTTCAATAGTTGAATTCCACAGTATGAATATAGAATGTGTTCCTTACACATCATAAATCTTCATCTGCCCATCATCGGATGCAGTCAGCAGTAATTGTGAGTCAGGAGAAAAGCATAAGCTACGGATAGACATTGCATGGCCCTCGAGAGTGTGAGCGAGTTTGCTTTGAGCCACATCAAATATATTTATGATACCATCTAATGCTCCACTTGCAATGTATTTACCATCTGGACTCTGTTGACAATATTATTTATCTTAGAATAACCACAAATATTTAACAAGTAAAACTAGATTTTGTTTCATCTTGAAAATTATAAAAACTAAAAAATAAAGAGACATAATATGGGTGGAAATCATCGAAATTAAACAATAGGGTCCACAAGTAATTAAAAGAAGAAGACTTAATATGGCTTACTAATCTTATATGTTTTTGGTAAAATGTGCAGTTTTTCTATCATTAAAATATCTAGGTTTAGGATTGGAACATAGGTACATTTGGTTGAAAGTATATGTGTTCTTTTACTTCATCATCAGCTCACTATACATCCCCACCGAGGGGCTCGGAGCCTACCCTAAGTTAATGGTGACTTTACTTACATAAGCTAAACTAAGTGTGAATCTCCCTCTTGTATCTAAAACTTGTTCTTGGTTACCATTCTCAATATTCAGTATTAAAATTTTTCCAGAATTTGTACCAGAAATAACATTTTTTCCATCTGGGGAGAAGTCCAAAGTCCATATATCTGCAGGTCCGGTTTCTAATGTTTTTAATTTTTCACCATTAACAATATCCCATAATATTAAAGATGAATCCTGGGAACTGCTGGCTAGGGCTGTGGAAAGAAATGTATATGTAAAATAATGAATATCTATTTCCCTTGGTCATAGAGTTGGAATAGAGCAGACAATTTCATTAATTATTTCTTTGTTGCATTTTTAATCATCAAGAGAAATTTCTTGTAAAAAAACGTTCAATTTTTTTAATTCAAAATTGATTTTTATAGAAAATAGTGGGATACAATTGGATATAAAGAAACCATTAAAACATTGAGTATATCATAATCTTAAAGTAAAAGAGAATTATAAATCTGAATTTCACTCACTTTTGCCATCAGGGCTTACTGCCACTGATATTACACCAAGCGAATGCCCTTCAAGTTGATGTTTTAATTCGAGCTTTCCATCCTCTAACTTCCACACTTTGATTAAGTCATCAAGACCTCCAGTGATAATGTAATCGTCATAAGTCACCTCAGTTTCATCTCCTCTGAAATTTAAAAATTTGTTAATAATTTTAGTCGATATTTTTCATAAATATTTAACTAAGTTATATAAATAATACGTATACGTATAATAATAACGTAAAATTTTAAAATGTTTACAAAATATAAGGTTATGTACTAACTGTGGTTCATTTGGTTCAGCGTTTTCTTCAGGTTCTTTTACTTTTTCATTTTTTATCCGACTCCAAGCACAGCACCAGATTGAATCTTCATGAGCATTTTCTTTTTTCAATTGTAGATAATACTAAAATGAAATTAAAATAAGTCCGAGAACTCAAGTAACACCGGTACACAAGCTTCAAAGAATCAAACTTACCAATGTTGTTATCGACATTACTTAGAACAAAAGCCTATATTATTGTATTGAACTTAACAATTATAACATATAAAACCTTGTATTATTTATATTACTCCTACGAACTACTTTTTGATTCTTTTTCACACACTTTAAATGAAAATAATAATTATGAATTGATGACAAATGACAATAAAAAAATTTAAATGTCAAAATTGTCAAATGGTTAAGCTATAATAGAGTATGAAGATCCGGTTTGCAAACAGACTCGAAACAAGTTCACCACAATACCTTCCCTGTATATGTTGATTCTAAGGCAATTTTTTTAAAATACTACAGCTTGCTTAAAATAATATAAGTAATAAGAGAATTGGGTTTCAGATTTTTGTTTACAAAGAAAAACCTACTTTATGAAACCCACAACGCAATACGCAACAGAACTGCCAACACTGTTTCCGTTTTATTCTTCCGTCATCCGCCATCATATCTTGGCTTGTCAGTTGTTATTTTATTTACACATTTCAACGTATTTCGATTAATAAAAGTCGTCTTATTTTTTAAGTTAATATAAAACATGCTAGCAAGATAACATTTGCTAAAAATTTAAATACGTGTTACGTAATAGTTTTTACTGTGCCTTCAAAATGGCTATGTCCAAATCTACAAACACGTACAATCGTCAAAATTGGGAAGATTCTGTAAGCTAAAACATTTCTATAACTTTATATTTGTTTATTATATAACTTTCTTATCTATCTTACTTATTTTTGTATGTTACAGGACTTTCCAATTTTATGTCAGACTTGTCTCGGTGATAACCCCTACATTCGTATGGTAAGATTGCTCTCCGTCATTTGAATAATTAAGTTTGCTTTGTTTGTTTCAACATTATAATATGTATAATATCAATTCCATTTCAGACTAAAGAAAAATATGGCAAAGAGTGTAAAATATGTTGCCGCCCTTTCACCGTTTTCCGTTGGTGTCCCGGTTCAAGAATGCGTTTTAAGAAGACGGAGATTTGTCAAACATGCTCCAAATTGAAAAATGTTTGTCAAACATGTCTTTTAGATTTAGAATATGGTTTGCCTATTCAAGTAAGGGATGCTGCTCTTAAGATTCAAGATGACCTACCTCGTAATGAAGTGAACAAAGAGTACTATATTCAGAATCTAGACAGTCAGATGTCTAAGTTTGATCCAACGCAGCCTAGTAACTCAGCTTTGAAATCTAAGGGTGCTTCAGACTTATTATTGAGATTAGCAAGAACTGCACCATATTATAAAAGGAACAGACCACATGTGTGCTCATTTTGGGTAAAAGGAGAATGTAGGAGAGGAGAGGAATGTCCTTACAGACACGAAAAGCCTACAGATCCTGATGACCCTCTGGCAGATCAAAATATCAAGGACAGGTATGTTTATAATATTTTAAAAACAAAGCCTGCTTGTTTTTTTATTTTTAAGGAAACTTACCAATATCTTGAAGCAAATTTGTTACACAATTGATTTTATATTAACCACTAAATTTACCAGTGTTTCCTCAAAGAGAATAAATTATTTAACAATATTTGTATATACTTGTGTTTTGGAATGAACCCTCTGAATTAAGTTTATGAATCATCTTTACTATTAAAAGTTGTTTGATCATCAGGTACTATGGTGTCAATGACCCTGTAGCAGAGAAGCTGATGAGACGTGCAGCTGCAATGCCAGCACTCCCACCACCGGAGGACAGGACTGTTACCACATTGTACATTGGAAACTTACCCGATAATGTCACTGAAGATGAACTTAAAGGACATTTCTATCAGTATGGAGAGATAAGGTATGTTTTATTTGTGGTTTTCTGCTGTGACACTTGAATTAATATGTATTGTAGTCTTTCTCGAAGAAAATGAAAAGTACATAAATGTATTCATATGAGTCACTGTAGTTTAGTTCTGTGTAGTAACATTTAACCCTTTTTCTGATCACACTTCTCTATAACAAAACAATTAAATTTTTTCGAATTTCTTATTTATGGAGATGTGGGAATTTTTAAAGTACTGAACTAAAAAGACTATGACTAGAAGCCTTACTTCTAGTCATAGTCCTCAAATATGTATAAAAAAATTGTGTTTGTTTTGCACTTTATCTTCATAATAATTAACTTTTGTTCCTAATGTTTCAGATGTTTAACCTTAGTGCCAAGAGCTCAGTGTGCATTTGTACAGTACACAACAAGGACTGCGGCTGAGCATGCTGCGGAGAAGACATTCAATAGACTGGTCATTGGAGGGAAAAGATTGACTATTAAGTGGGGCAAGTCTCAAGGTAAACTGAACTTAAATATTACTTTTAAGAAGGCAAACTACTAATTCTATTTTCTTGTTCTGATGGACAACCTCCATACACATTGACAGGCACCTCACTGAAAGAACATAATAGAACTAGAGTGATGGGCGACAGCTAGTTGTTACATTTATGTAATTGTTGTATTCCTGCAGGTCGACAAGGTGTGAACGAGAAGAGTGATTTGCCTGCGCTGGAGCCTGTGCCAGGGCTGCCCGGAGCGCTGCCACCTCCGCCGCCCGCCTTCCTCCATCCCTTCCCGCCACAGGTATGTCAACATTCATACCTACCACCACAAATTGATACACCAAGCATCTAGAGACAGCTTACTGGCCCAGCAGATTTGGGATTCTATTTTAGTTCTGATTAATTGTTATAATTACACTGCTTCGGCGTTAGGACCTAATATAATCTGGTACAGTGTGGATTACAGAGTTATTTAGGGAAACATCATTTTGTTAATGTTGCAAATGCAACAATTTAGGTGGATGTTTGTTAGAAGGTATATCCGGAATGGCTCAGTGGATCTTGATGAAATTCTTTACTTGACTTATGATCCACACTTCTATGAGTAAATAATTTAATTTTTCCTAGATGCCGCCGCCGCCGAACCGTCCAAACGATTTCTTCAACCTGCAGCACTACGCGAATCCGGGCTGGGGCTGGGCGCCGCCGCCCGGCCTGCACTACCCCAGCCAGGACCCCGCACGTCTCGGTGCGCATGCGCATGCCAACGCGCCGCAGACATAGGACACAATGCAAGGAACTATCCAACGAATTGTCACTTTTTAAAGATTCTTCCTTATTTTTATACAAAGTAGCAATTTCATATAATATTAAGTAACTGTCTTGGGCAAAGGACGAAATGCAGAATACAGCCCCTCTAGATAAAGTGCATTCGTTACGAAGCGAATCCATAACGAATGTATAGAACTGACAAAAACTTTCGATAAGTCACATGATTATCCCGCTTCAGTTCCATACATTTGCAGTTAGCTATGGAATCGCTTCGAAGCGAATGCATTTCTATCTTTGGTAAGGTGACATTAAGCCATTTGAGAAAAAAATCGTGATTTTATTACTGACCAATTACTTTAGTTATATTGATTCATGAAAATGTTTTCATTATATGACTTTGTAGTACATACATTTGTACATCAATGTGTATAATGTAATTAATAGAATAGGTTTAAGTTTCATGTAACATAAGAAATTTTCAATAAAAACTTTTTAGACATTTGACCTTTTTATTCAGTTAAAATAAAACAAAATAAATTTCGGAAACTATATTTAATATTAATCATAAGTATAACATGACTTAATCGTTACAAAACAGTTAAACACTTTAGATACATCTAATTCCCTTCGCTTACCATTTATCTGGGTAAGGACGGTCTGATAATAATTTACATTATACTAGGCCCAGATATATATATGTATATGCGATACAGTTTAGTGCTCGCCTCTGTTACGAGGTTTACGTGATTTATATGTAAATATTTTATAGCAAGGTTTATTGTTCCTTTATACCAGTGATTCTCAACCTTTTCATATTAAAGTTGTCCGTTTTCAAGAGGAAAATAACTTTTTAAAATTTTGCCTTCCCATTCATTCTTCGTGCAAGAGAAGTCAACATATCTATTTATACATGTATTTCGGCAGTGAAAGATAAAGATAAATTGAACATATGCAATACGAATTCGAGATGCTTTAAAGCGGAAAATCGTTTTTTTTTCAATAATAAAAAAAAACATACACAAAGGTTGAGAACCACTGGTATTTAAGTGTCCAATGACTAGTCAATTGATAGTTTTTTTTTATATCTTACACTATTTTATACAAGGTTACAAACGCAATATTGAAGTCTTGTGCATCTAATCGTCATATAAGGCAAGGACAAGAATACATAACTAACAAATTAAAATTAAGTAAATCGCCTAAATATATGAAGCAATAAAAACACACTACTTACCGTGGGTTTCTGACAACAAAATCTCTGTATAAAACATATCATCCCTGTTATTATTTTTAAAAAGACAAAGATTATGTTTTAAACGACCATTTTGGTTTCAGAAACCCATGGCTACAGAATTAAAATACGCGCAAAGATCGTATAAGATACGATTATATTGAAGATTATTTTAACCGTATATCATAATTTAAATTCTCTTAGGAAAAATAGACCATGACAATGAAAAGACGTTAATATAATCCCATTTTGGAATGTTTAACACGTAAAAAAAATTGTATACAGTAGAACCCGGATAACGGAGAGTCCAAGAGACCGCAATATTTTTCTCTCTTCTAGAAGTTACCCTTATCCAGGTTTGACTGTAAGACATTTTTAATCTTTTAGGCGGTTGACCTTGAACTGCGTAATGACATCCATATTGTTTTCTGCGTAACGACTTGTACGATGTTCAGAGTCGACATGTTCGAAAAACACAAAGAGCGTGTAGATTTTTTTTTAAATTTAATTATTACAATAGAACAAACTTTAAATGATAGTGTGTAATTCGTGCATCTTGTATAAATTCGGTATACAAGAATCTTGGTACTTGTCCTTACTTGACTTCAATTTAAATAAACCGTAATTTTTTTAATTACTGTTGAGAAGGGTCAGAAAAAAGATTTGCTATGAAGGATAAAATTTAAAGCGTTTGAAGTAAGCTCGTTTAAACACAACTATTTTTAACTAGCAATTAACTAATATTAGGGGTAAATATTGCGAAAAAATATAATTTATTAAAAATTTCGAACTAAATCTCGAAACTTCATAATATAAGTTATGCAAATTATCCCAAAGAAATTTATTTTTCATATCAATTACTTATTATTAATGATTTTTTAATAAATTAACATGTTAAAATAACAAATAGAACACAGCCACACGCCATTTTGGCTGTCATAAAATAAAATCTAGTTATAATTGAATTTCTAAAAAAAAAAACGTGAAATGGAACTGCTACTCCAGACGTAATGTGATATTCAACTACAAGGAAAGGCAACTAAACAATTATAACATATTTTAAATCCAAATACATCAAAATATTGTCTCAAACAAGAATGTGCTAATCAATGACCTTGATCTACCAAAACTCTCTTCAAAAATGATTATTTTACTGTAGGTTTCTAAGACCAATATTTTTGTTAAAAACATAATGTTATCTCAACAAACATGACGATATGTTTCATACAGATATTTTAGTCTCAGAAACCAACGTTAACTGATTCTGTAATGTTCTCGATTTAAGGGCTGTGACGTCACAATGTTGTTCGTGCACAATCTTATTTGAAACTCATCACACGTACATTTACAAGTATATAGTTGATCAATATTAAATACTACAATTATTAAATGTGATTAAAATCAGAAAGAGCACTTTATTTAAATAAATATGAATCTCTATACATTATATTATAGCGTTATGTACTTTTCAAAAGTGCTAAATGCTGTTGAAGTCCAATTGTATCTGAAAATTAATATTTACAAATTAAAGAAGAATAAATCAAGAATAAAACAAATATCATCGAAGTTGTTATAATTTCTGGAAGTTTAAATATAAGAAATACTTTTGAGGCCAAATTTTAAAACGCAAAAAATAAAAAAACAAATTATGGAAGCCAAGCAAAGCAACACATTAGCCATCGAATAATATAAAAAAAATTGCCAAAATTTTGAAAATAACAAATTTAAGTAACAAAAAGTACATTTATCCGACGTTCTTACGGTGAAGGAAAACATCGTGATGCAACCTGCACATATCTGAGAAGAAATTCAAAGATATGTGTGAAGTCCACCAACCCGCACTTGGCCAGTGTGGTTGACTATGGCCTAGTCACCCCCAACTTAGGGTAGGCTCCGAGCCCCTCAGTGGAGACGTATAGTGAGCTGATGATGAAGATAAGATTAAACTCACGTGATATCTTTCAGTATCTGTTAGAGTTGGCGTTTGCGATCTGCGCATTGACAGCTGCGGCTGCTGCACTGGAGGCTGCAGTCTGCACGTGCTGGTTGCGGAAGATCTCCGTTGTGAACTCAGCCTGGGCTTTAGCGAGCGACGCGCCCGTAGACCTGTAGATACGATGCACCTGTAAACAAAAACTTTATGTTAATCTTACTAATATTATAAAGAAGAAAGTTTAAGTTTGTTACAAGGTATCTCGAGAACGACTCAACATATTTTGATGAAGTTTAGTATAATAGAACATAGTGTGGAAGGACACATAGACTACTTTTTTTAGTTTTTTTTTAATTTCACAAGACGGAGTCGCAGGCGACAGTTAATATGTAATAACTTAATTCTTTATTTACTATGAGCAGGGGGGCTCGTGTTTAAACTACGATAATACCCTGGTCACTTGTGCACACACACAGGAAATAATAATCTCATTTAGAATCAGAAAATTTTAAATTACTTTGAGGATGTTTTGGATGGATAAATAACCATTTTAATGACATATCAGGTTTATTGAATTACTATTGTTGTTATTATTTTTGTATAATTTAAAGCGATTGTGTTAAAATATGTTTTGACCCCTTAAGGGGTCGCAAAGTACTACGTTATTTCGTCTACCACAAAGGGTCTATAAAGGACCAATGTTAACCTAATCGTCGTGATTTTAATTTCCTTGTATGAGTTACCCCTAAGGGGTCCCTAAGTATTTTACAATGTAGGGGGTCACATTCTGGAAAAAGTTGAAAACACTAACAAAAATTATCAATTACCTTTGCGATGAGCATGACATCAGCGACCACCGAGGTGATGAACCCGATAGTGACGAGCAGGGTGATGATGCCAACACCCACGTTCACCTCGAACGCCGATATACTGGTGATCAGTCCACTGGAATTATTTATATTTATATATTACAAAGGGGAAATTTTTGAGGTTATTTGATTTAAATATCCATCTCATAAGATTACGACAATTGCTATATTGAATGAAATCAACTCACCAAGAGCCTCCACCGCTGAATCCAATCGACTGCACCGTCGTTATAATAATTTGGAACAGGAATATAAAGAAGAAGACCATAAAGTTGAAAGATGAGTCGCTTCTAAACGCCTTGTATATCGGCCGGTACCAGCAAATGAAGCTGAATGGAGTCAGCAGCACGAAGTAGAGGATTGAAAGACCAAATATCGTGAAACCTTGACCGGCAATCATCAATGACATCGCTCCGATTATGTTCAGAGCCAACACCAACGCATGGACTGGAAACAAGAACAATTTAAAGACATAACTAAACGTAAGTTTTCACTATTAAAACATTCGTATCCTTCTTGAAAAAGAAAAAAATTATCAAGACTTGTTTTTGTAACAGTGGTTTATTACTAATCTTACTTCTTACTTATATTATAAATGCGAATGTTTAGATGGATGGATGTTTGTTTGTAGGTCCGCTCCAGAACCGCTAAATAGATCTCGCTGAAATTTGGCATGGATGTAGAACATAGTCTTGAAGAACGCATAGACTTCTAATTAAGTTTTTTTTATTCCGCGCGGACGGAGTCGTGGGCAACAGCTAATATCACATAAAGAGAAAAAAAAGGTCTTGAGAGACGGACGGACAACAAAGTGATCCTATAAGGGTTCCGTTTTTTTCCTATGAGGTACGGAACCCTAAAAACAGCATGCATGTCGTTATTTTTTAATTTTACCACCATTACAGATTTATTGTTGGTCAGATTGTATACTAATTTAATCATTTGAAACTAGAATATAAAAATTTAAATTATTAACTGCAGTATAAAATTTGTACTCACACATCCATAAATGGTATAAATGACGAACAATCCTCTGAAACTCTAGAGGTATGTCGACATTGATGTCTTGATAGAAGCACGGCTGGACTGGACAGAAAGCGGGCAAAGGTGGCCAATTGTTCCTCCTGCCAGCGGAACCAGCTCGGAGTTCAGCCTCCCGTCTCGCAAGTTCCTCCGCCTTGCGTTCCAGTTCTTCTTGTCTCCGCTGCAATTCAAGTTCTCTTATACTCTCTTCGTACAAATTATCATTTTTCGGTTCTTTTTTTAAATTAACATTTTTCGATACGGGATTATGTGTAGACATTGTTGTGTTTGGAATAGACTGGTTGAAACATTTGCCTTTGTACATTAGGGGTCAAACCTACGCGTTGGTAATTTTATAATCAAACTTCATGACTAAATTGTGTCCTGCTTTACTAACTTTTCAGACATATTGTGTGTTACAATTTAAAAGTATGTTCAAATAATTCCCGCATGATATGCAAAGGCAATAAGTTTTTTAATCTATATTATTAATATAAAGATTTAATTATCTGTTCTGTTCGTTAGTATTGAATAATCTGAAAAATTCCTTTACTGCTAGGTAGTTTACACTAACCGTGGATGACACGAGTTACATTGATTATTAGATTTTTTTAATTCCGCGCAAACGAAGTCGCGGGCAACTGCTAGTTAATTAAAATTAAATTAGTCTGATTAAATTTTTAGTATTGAGCGTCCAAACAACTAAATATTTCTTAATATAATAATAGTAGAGATAAATATTACAATAAAAATAAAAATCAATTGCCGAACCAAACAATAAGCTGATAACACTTTCTACAATTTAGTCACTATCAGAAAAACAACACGATGACTATACATTATCTATAAACTGAATTGATAACACTTTCCAAGTAAACAAGAATGCTTAATATTCTGTATTTACATTATGCAGACCGACATTTTTAATCTAAAGTTCAATGCCGTTTAAATAAAATAAATACTAGCTAACCTGGACAAGCAAGAGCATTGTCCTGTCCAAAAAATGATTGAAATGTCCTGAATAAGCGAGAAACTCGGGTTAACTAGAAACCTTTATAAGTGAGAAAAATATTCTCGGTGATCCAGATTTGACTGTAATTGGTTTTGTATACTTAGAAATTCCATAACCAAGGATGGATACGAGTACAAACAACAAAATTTGTTTTTGAAACAAAAATTAAATTGATAAGTTTCATAACAAATGTGTATAAAAGTTAAAATTTTATCAACATCCTGTTTATATAATAATTTTTATGTAGCATTTGAATATTTGCTAAATTACTCATTTAAAAAAAATGGTGTTTCAATATTATACTTAAAGGATTTACTTACTCTTACTATTTACTAATATTATAAAAATGAATGTTTGGATGAATGGATTGTTACTAGGTGTGTCCAGTCAGCTGTTGGAATATCTCTGAAATTTGACATAAACATAGAATGTTTGTCTGGAAGACGCACATAGGTTACTAATTTAGTAAATTTTTAGACAGGTGACAGCTAGGTAATGATAAAAATTCTAATATATTATAAAACTACAGTAATCTATACTAATATTATAAAGTGGAAGAGTTTGTTTAAACTCGCTAATCTCAGGAACATCTGGTCCAATTTGAAAAATTCTTTGTTGAGAAAGGCTTTAGACTATTTTTTAATTGCGAGCGAACGGAGTCGCGGGCGACAGCTAGTTTTATACAATCTGTGTAGTGCACAAAACTTGTTACTAAGCTATGACATGGATGGATGACTGATTATGATAAAATTGTCAAACAATTGATAAATAAAGAAAAATACGTAAGTGAGATGTTTACCTTCAACTCCTTGTGCAGGTTGTGAGGGAAAAGCAAAAAGTGAATTAATTTACATCCATTATTAGTGGACTGATACACAAGCCTGGCTTGATCATCTAAATAATTTATGTATAACACATACTGTGGAAATTAGCTTAATACATATTATATAGCATAGTAATTTTGAAGATTTTATAAGATAACAAATGCTTATTAAATAGAATTGCTCCAATACTAAATTACTAAGTTATTATTGATTGAAATACTGGCTTGTATTGCCTGATTGCTAGTCTTTTACATAGTCTTGCTATGATTTGAGATATTTATGGAGTGTAATTAAATTCATGCAGAATATTTACATTGATTTAATGAGTGCTACTAAAACATATCTTTAGAAAACATTTCTAAAATTTGTAACATGAATTATTTATGTAGACAACACTGACTGAATCACTGACTACTTGTTAATACTTTTTTCATTACTTTAAGTTGTAACAAAATCACATAGGTTTAACTAATGTTGTAATGGCTTTTTTATGGCTCCGCATTTGGACTCAGACTGACATGGCCCAAGATAGATCAGACTGGAAGAGTACTGTGGACGCCCCCTACCCCACTATGTGGACATAGGACTTTAAGTCAAGTCAGTAATGTGCCTTTTTAATAAACTTATAGTTCTTTTGTGATGTAAAGATAGAGATACTTACTTGAAAGTCAGCAGTAGTAAAATTCTGTGGTGGAGCTTGTGGCTGCTGTGGTTGTGCCGGCCGTGGGTACTGGCCAGCGGGCGGGGACACAGCCTGCATGATTGCAGGCTGTGAGGGCTGTTGTTGTCCCTTGGAATTAAAAAAATATATTTACATACTTTTATAAAGATGTTTTAGTTAGTTTTTCAATGAATTCACCAACTTCAAAGTTGATTAGAAAAAAAATATATAAAAAATGGAGTAAAGAAATAAAATAGCAGATATCAGTATAGACTAGACAGAGACTAGTAGGGTTTAAAATTTGAGAAGGATTAGGTTTATTGCTTCCTAGGTCACTATTTGATACCTATTCTTTTGAAAACTTTACTCTTGATATTCAGCAGTATAATTCATTAAGTATAAACAAGATATAAAAGCAATTATCTAAATTCAATTAACCGAAACATTGTCTTTAACGTTTATGTTTTGATAAGAATTTTAAGATAAGACTAACTGTTAATATATACACACAACATTGTGCAAGTAAATATGAATAGCCTTCTTTTATATTTACTTTTTTTTATCGTACCCTAAATAGGATATATAGAAAACAGCCAACTCCTGTATCTGCCTTTCTCATTAGATAAATCCACCCACAACATTATACTAATGGTAAATATTATTTAAAATACATAAGATTTCTCTACTTCAAATAAAAAGTATTTTTATACTCATCAAAATTAGATCTATAATTTGGATAATATCATACTTCATTAGATTTCTCATGACTAATAACAGTGATATACCGTAGCCTGATTTGCATTTTGTTGTCCGTCAAAGGGGTTATAGTCGTCCAAACCACTGGTCGCATTTGTTGTACTTCTTGCCACTTGCTGCACCGACGGATCCTAAAAATACATAAAATATAAGACAAATAATGATATTGATAACAAATTACAATTCAATCGAAAAAATCACTTACAGCAAACGGATTGTCTATGGTTGGATCACTAAAGGGATTATCTTCAAATTGCGGCATTGGTTGCGATTTTAATACGCCACTTTAGCAAAAATAAATATTATATAGCTCAATGGAAATATTTGCGACTATATTTCAAGACAAAACGCAATAAATTTTAGGTCCCGACACAATAACTGACAGATTGCGCTGACGATGGTGACGAAAAATGACAGAATGACAGTATTAAAAGTGTTGCTAGCCAATAAGTATATCATAGAGTGTATGAAACAGAAATGAACTTGAAAAAACTGTTTTGATTACAAAAAAATTTTAGAGCACTGTTTCATACTTTTTCAATGTAATAATTTAAGTTTAATAAATTATCGTAATCGTAGTCATCTCTTGCGGAGACCTATATCCAGTTGTGAGCGTCTTTGGACTAAAAAAAGCAATCAAATTAAAAACTAACGATTTTGAATTTTAAATATTTTCCTTTCGTTTTTCTTGGTAATTTTAATTAAAAATGCAAAAAAAAAAATTCAGGCTTTAATATACATAGAAACATCAAAATTAATATAAATGTTTCTAGTTACTTGAATATCCAAAGGATAGCGCTACAACAAAAATTCGTATTCCTCATGTAATTCGCAAAAGTTGAGAAAATAATTTACAAGACTTCGTTTTCGTAGTAATTAGTAAAAGTTTACAAGATTTAGAGTACAACGGCATGAAGTATTATATAATTTTGGGAAACTTAAATATAATTATGTTATAATTAAACAGTTCGGTAATTTTAACTCATTTATTTATTTATGTAAAGTAACAAGTGGTTTTACCAATTTACTATCAATAACATTAGTGTCATGTAATCTTGAAACTTCTAACGTCATTAATGGTTGAATGTTTGTATAAGTTAATCAATATAAGATTAACTTAAATCACATAAAGTTGTTTTATAATTTATTCAAAACACTTATAATTCTGTATGTTGGTACTCTGGCAGCGAAAGTGGTTTTACAGTTGGCAGCTATATTTGTCAGTTTAGTGTACGGTTCTGTCAAAGTAGGCAGCTGTTTACGTTTTGTATCGTTATTTTGCGATCGTTTTGCACAACTTTTGTTATACCGTATTGTTTTTATTTTAACACTTTTGCTTCTACGATATCGGTGAATTATATGTGTGATTTTTTTGTTAATTTCTTTAAACCATGTCAGATGTCAAGAGGTGAATAAGTAGTGTGTTTGTGTCTAACGTGTGAGTGACAGTTTTTATATTGTTTGGGATTCGTGCGATAAACATATCGGTGAGTATTTCCTTTTGTTACTCTAGTGGCCTTTACAAAAACACATTAAATTCTGAAAAGAATTAGACACAGTGTCATAAAAGTTCTAATTTAGGAAGTTAGTATTGAGAGATAGAACGTGAATATTTGCGAGCTTAAGATTTTGGGGGCTATTGAATTTAGGAAATAAATTAGACGTGGCGCATTTGAACCGCGTTAGCAATTAGTTACGGGTGTTTGGCGCGGGTAGCACCGTGCGCGCCGGATCCTTACGCGCATGCCCACAGCTGGCTGGCGAAAGTTGTTTGCTCTTGAAACCGAGGAAGTACCGCCTGGGCAACAAAATACTGGTGTTACAACACTGCTGCCTACAATTTCATATTTCTACAGGCAACAAGGCCCCCTAGTAGATAAGAATATATGTGTTTTACAAAATAAAGAAGACATTTTTGAAAATAATTTTTCTAGTTTAAGTTTTTCAAACTACAGCAAGTGTTAATATGCAAGAACAATGTTAACAATTACTTGTAGATGTCTGAATATCCATGTTCATTCTTAAAGTCATTTAAAAACAACAACTACTCACCAGAGCAGTGAATGAAAACTAATGTAAACAATGGATACAAACAATAGCTGATTTTTGTTTATTGTTTCTCTAGGTAACTAATGATTAGCTGTTCTGTTTGAAATACCATATCTTAGGGTCATGAATGAAATACTACAAATTACAATTTTCATATGTTCATATATCGTATACAATTCTGTAATTTACTTATTAAAATTTTTTTATCACTAACTTTTTATCAATTCTTACCAAATATACATAAATTATGCTATATAAATTGTTTTTATGCATATAAAAATATTAATGATATTGCTCATTAAATTTAAGTGCTTCTATATCCGTAAGTGAATTTTTATAGTATTATAATTCTATCAAAACTTTCTGGCAGTTGTTAATTCAGTAAAAGACTACCCAACACATACATTGGTACTGAAGGGACATAAGAGAATATAGTGGGGGACAAACCTGAGAATACTATTTTCAAGCCAAAGTTCTCTGACTAGGCACCTACTAGCATGGACTTGTACTTGTAGGTAACACTAAGTATGTATCTAGTAATATAGGACACCTGGAACTGCTCTTTACATAATAATTAGTTGTCGCCCGCGACTCAATCTGTACAGAATAAGAAAAAATAATTCTTAGACCATGTTATCTTCTGTACTATGTTTTACATCCGTACCAAATGTCACCGATATCTATGCAGCTGTTCTGGCGACACCTTCTAACAAACATCCATCCATCCATTCCTAGGAAACATTCACATTTATAATATTAGTAAGATTCTACAGTTAATTGAGCATCTTTCCATATTTTATACCAATTTGGAACTTACAATAAATGAGAAAGAAATGTGATTAATATATATTATTTTTTGTCTGTGATTTGCAAATAATTTTGCAATACTAAAACCTGATCATAGTATTACAACATACATGGTTTTATAATAAGATATATTGTAACAAAATAATAATTTGATACTCGTATTTGATATGCGTTGCAGTTTTGCCGTACATTGTGATATTTGACAAAGTGAATATTGAGGTCATTGAGAAATAATACATTGTTCTCACTTTCACTTTACTCACCTTGTATAATATTGTTTGAATAAGTATTTGTATGCAATTTTATCATACTGTATATTTTTTGAATGGAATCTCATATTATAGACTAGCTGTCGCCGGAGACTGTCTATGCAGGATTAATAAAAATTTTTTGCAGCCTATGTGTTCTTCCAAACTATGTTCTACATCTGTGCCAGATTTTATCATGATCCACTGAGATGTTCCAGACATACATTCTAACATCCATCCATTCATTAAAACTATCGCATTTATAATATTAGTAAGATGTAAAGTAAATAAATAACCTTATGGTTCTTTTTTATTTTAAATTGGCATACATTTTTGATTTTCCTAATACTTACAACTTAAATAACAATAACATAACTCTAGTAACCGAGAGTGATAGGTAGGGTAGAATAAAAAAAGCATCTAAAATTAATAAAACATCACATAGTTAATTGATGCTTCCTTAGACATAATATCTCTTGTTTTAAAGGACTATATATTATCATACTGGCAGAAGGGTAATGTTTTTGGATATATATTATTAATGTAGGTCTGTACATAATAATGGAAGTTGTTACTTGATTCATAATCTTCTATGAAGTGTCATACGCTTAAAAACCTTCAAGTTGAATTCAAGGCGCAAACAGCTGGTTGCATTGGTTTTTTTGTATGAGTTAATGGCTATTGCAAAAGCAATAAAGTATCAAGCCAGTAACATTTTCTTTCACATAACTGTACCAAATGTGATGGGAATAGTTTTGAACTCATGACATTGTAGTATTGATCTAATACCAGGCTGATACAAAAAAAGTTTACATTTGCAATTATAAGACAAAGGTAATTGTTTTAGTTCTTATAGTAAAGTATTTAACTACTCATCTATTGGTTCCCAGCCTGCTTTGATATTCATTTGAATAATTGAACAATGGTTAAAAACTTCCTTGCTTACTTCCTTTAGTAATAATTTGATTATACATATTGATAGATATGAGTTATCCTTCTATATGATTTAATAACTATGATAACTAACAGCAAGTATAAATTAAGCTAAGCTAATATGGTATTCATGTTAAAAATACAGTTTTTATCTTCTATCAATTTTTGTGAAATTTTATTTGACATACTGTATTATAGCTGTCACTAAGTGTGTAACCGAAATCCTATTGTCATCTCTGTTTAGTTAAAGATAATGACAGGGATGATGATATGTTTTATACAGAGATTTTGTTCTTAGAAACTCATGATCAGAGTAACAGTTACTTGGACAATTTTCAATGCTAAAGTGTGCTATTTTCAGTTTTAGCTACACAGTCAAACTGTTTGGTAAAAACTTGCATTGTTAATTATGAAGAGTATGCAATGTAGTTATATATTTTGTTAATGAATAGGTACCTTCGCTACAATATTTTAAAGTTGTTTTGTCTCTAATATGTTTATAAAGTCATCTAATAAGGATAAAGTTAGAAAAGTTAGATGAAGATAAAAAAACAAACAAGTTTTTCCTTAGTTTAATTTGTGGCACAAAAATATTATATGTTCTGTCATATTTTTTTAGATTAATCGGACACTGAAATCTCTGTATAAAATATATGTTTTATACATAGATTTTGGACTCAAAAACCCACATTTAATGTGTTACTCCAAAACTCGGCATTTATAAGCTTTTACTAACAGATGAAAATAATTTCAGCACTGAACGAGTAATAAGTTAGCTTCATCATTTGTGGTTATGTGAATTTTAGATTTGTGGATACGGGCGTGAATTAAACGTTACTACGCTGTGAGCCTACACTTTGAAAGCTAAATCATGCTGGACTGGAATTAAATGATGGAGTATGCAATGATTACTTTATTAGGTGACATTACTTTTGGATAATGTTACGTCTAATATATGGAAATTAGTATTTTTATTACACATATCACTGCCTGATAATGATATTTATTGTTTTAGGATTTATTTTTAAAGTTTTTGTGTTTAAATTGATGAAATAAAGTATGTTATAACTTCTTATTTCTGTTGAATTCTGTGTGTTCGTGGTAATGCACCATTGTTGTTGCTGTCGTCTACCACTGTTAAATATATTTTATATGGTTGGCTGTCACCAGCGACTCCGTTTGTGCGGTATTAACAAAAACCTTAATAAGTAGCCTATGTCTTCCAGATATTCTACATCTATGCCAAATTTTAACGAAGATCCGTAAAGCAGTTTTGGAGATATAGTAACAAACATCCAACCATCTATACTTTCGCATTTATAATATATGTATGTAGTTTTCTTAAGACATCATTTTAAGTCTTACGTCTGTGCCAAATTTCATCGAGATCCGTTAAGACGTTTTGGAGATACGGAGTAACAAACATAACTTCACCTAAACTTTCGCATTTATAATATTAGTATGACACTATGAGCTCTTACCTGCCACATGTGATTATATGTGCGTCATTATTAATTTGGGTCATAGAATATAATATTTGTATGGAGTTTAGCAAAGCTTACATTTGAAGTAAAATTTCTAAGGCTTTTTTTACGTTAACAATGGCCAATTAACATTATTAGGAGGAGAGTTATATAAAATGTACAGCTTTTTGTTGAAGCTTACATTATTAACGACGAAAAAAGTCCGACCTATGTAATAATTAACGTATGCCATTGTCGCCCTTAATTAGAGCGGCTCGCATTTATTCTATTGTCTCCGTTGTGTATGTGCCTGTGAGAGTAGGGGGGAGAGGGGGGTCGCTTTGTTCGTGACCCATTAACATTATATTGTGGGAGATGACGTCTCGATTTGGTAACGAAATTACGTAGTCTGAATGTTGCTTAATTTCACGCGTGTGCGACAACTGATTTCGCAGAATTTGCTGTTTCAATAAAAAAACATTTTGTTTTGAAATTATATTTTTCTCGTTGTTTAGTTGAACAGCTTTTCTGTAATGACTGACAACGTAGTTTGACTAACCATCGTCTTCGGCAAGATCAAGACCCCGTTGAGTTGAACTAGGATATTAATTTTAACTACATTTTCCTATAGGAAAACCGTTAACCTACTACTAATTTCACTGGATATATTAAGGTATGTTGATATTTGTCAAACGAACAAGCACAACTTCGACAGGCGAAATTCGTTTAGAATTTAAATTCTCTAAAGGTGATACAGGCTAGACAACGAATTTTCTTCTTGCATGACCCCTTGTATACCCGGTGCTCCTCGAATTGAAGTAAGACCCCGTGCTGGTGTAAGTCTTGACAGGTCCAGAGGCCTATTGGCCGTAAAAAACGTTAAAACGGTCATTTGCTATTTCTAGCAAAAAGTTCACTGAACATGCACGGTTTTGTTCCACTCTGGTCCTCAGATGACCCATGCGATCAAAATGGAATAAACCAGGT